GACGTGGTCTCCGCGAAAGGGGATGAAGACGAGAGGACAACGCGAGGGGTGGAAAAGGTAACGATCGTATTCGAGCAAAGTGGTCGCGATCGCGCGAAGCCTAGCATTGGATTCCACCGGTTTTTATTGATATTTGAACGCCGATATTCGAACACGAGCCGGACCATCATCCACGCGTTCGATGATCGGGATAACAATAAAGGTTTATTAAGGTTTATACAGTTATCTCCGCGTAGATAGAAGCAAACAGGGGCAACAGTTACAAAATAGTTGGTGGGCATTAAGCCCGATACAACGAGAAATAACGTTACCTTTTCCCGTTCCCTCGACACCATGCTTACAACTCTCCATATTCCGGATCTTTCTTTTTATTCCTCGATGACGAATTTTCCTCTTTGGTTCTCGTTCGAGAAAAGACGATCGATTCGTTTTATCGTTGGGATTTGAAACTTGCTCTCTCGATTGAACGATGATTGTGCTACGCAATCCGAGAAATAATAATCGATAGAAGAGAAGTTTATCGTTTTATGATCTCGATTGCCTAAAAGAGACATTGGCACGGCCTTCGAATTTAATTATCGTGCCCATTGCACAATTATAAAAATTTTCCCTCCATTATATTTTCACGGTATTGAAATATTACTGTAAAAAAAAATCCATGTATCAAGATATAATACTTCAAGCTATCCCACGCTTCATTTTTAAACGGATTCAAGCGTTCGAGGTCAGTAGTGATTATAATAAGGCGATAAAACGAATAATTAAAAAAAAATATTAATAAAGTATCGTCCGATCAATTCCGTTCTCGATGAATATTCCCATCATCTTCGTGTGATATTCAATAGATGTCCTTGCGGTAATAATAAGTGGATAATTCGCGGTACGAGATTAGTTAGACAGTGCTGTAACATTAAAACCATCTATCTCTTCGAGTTTTTCGAATAATAATCTCGAAAGATTCAGCTATCTCAATTTTTTTCCCTTCCTCCTCTTTCCCTTTTTTGTTATTTTCTCGTCGATCGACGGTTCGATTATCTGCGGCGTTCCGATAACGATATTTATATTATTTTTCTTTTCTTCCTTGTATCTTTCAATTTCTCGATATCTACGAAAATCTGTTATTTTCAAACGGAAATTTCTCTTTGTTATCGCGTTTTAGAAATTGCGTCGTACATTCAGTCGGTCCGAAAGTCGGTATATATTCGAAAGACCATGTTGCAATGTCAATAAATCGAAAGAATTGTAAATTTCCTCCATGCACGGCAATATAATTTTTCGTTGTGCAGTGTCGGTAATAAAACCGCAACAACAGATATAAAAACATGACCGATAAAAAATATGATATTTCTCTTCTTGCCTCGATTAATACCAACTTCAACCACGATGGGATGACCAAAAATTGACTCGATCAGAAACGCAAAGGATTTTCAAGGATTTTTTAATCAACCGATCACGTTTAAACTTGCTTATAAGCATTATATGAATAAATAATCGTAATTGTTAAATTAAGCTCGCGTGTTAATTAACGTCGCGCACAATTTATGTTTTTAACGATTCATCAACATGAGAGAGAGAGAGAGAGAAATGTTTCGATCCGTGTATGCGTATAAACGCTATAACAAATGCAAGGCTATCGCAAGTCAAATAATGCGTGGCAATGGGCATTTATAGTGTATTATATAACGACATGTGTGGCGTCTGACATTCATACTCGGGTGCTATAGTATGGATTCAAGATCATGGATACGTGATACACGTTTCCAATTTTGGCGTCGAAAAATATATATGTATTTGGCGAGAAATTCACGTGCACGTTCAAATATTAAAACTGCGAGAATTGGTGAAACGAATCGGATAAATCGACGTAAATCATCCTTTCGAATTATTTTAATACTGTTGCTATGCGAGTCGCATGAATTAGTACCGATTGAGAGAGAGAGGAAAAACTGAGGATATAATATTTGCAACTTCTCGAAACGTTACGTTTTCGCTGTTTGGAATTGGAATTTTCGACGATCGCATCGTAAATGAACGATTCACGATTCGCGGCAAGTGATCGTTGAGTAAACTGAAAAGTGGACGGCTCTATTTAATCGGCTAATGTAAATAAATCGGTTAAAGTGCGATTGATACGTATCGATTGTATAATTTTAGTCATGCGTGTTCGCGATTTAGGCCAATTGAATTCATTTGGTATTGGCCTTATCAGCTAGTTTCCTTCCTAGACGAGGAGCAAAATAGTCGGAACAAATATAACACCTTGCGCATGTTTAAACATCTATTACACGTATATATATATATATATATATATATATATATGTGTGTGTGTGTGTGTTACTATTACTATATATTACTTACGTTA